GCAAACCTAAGTGACAGGCTCTCACGTGGAAATCATGACAGGCATGTCATGTAAGAACACGACTACATGCCACTTTCATTATGCGCTCACGGTCGTTTCGCTAGCTTCACATATACTAAATTAGGTATTACGTGACTTGAATAGATAACGAAGGTATATGACTGGTGGAAACATCATAATCCTGACATGCGTGTCATGTAGGAACATGACTACATGCCGCGCTCACGACGCGCTCGCGGTCGTTTCGCTGGCTTCACATACACCAAATTTCGTGTTACGTGACGTGAACGGAGGACGAAGGTATGCGACTAGTTCAAAATGACAATATGACATGCGTGTCATATAACAACATGACTACATGCCATTCTCATGATGCATTCGCGGCCGTTTCACTAGCTTCATATATACCAATTTCGGTATCCAGTGACGAGAACATACGATGAAGACAAATGACAGGTCCAAACATGATAAACATGACATGCGTGTCATATGAAACATGACTACATGCGACTCTCATAGTGCGCTCGCGGCTTATTCACTAGCCTCACATATACCAAAGCTGGTATTACGTGACGTGAATTAACGGCGAGCACAAATGCCAGGCGCAAACACAATAATCGTGACATGGAAGTCATGTACAGCACGATTGACGTCCGCCTCGTAAGGTTATGTTGATTTTTATGAGAAAATTCTACTTTCCTCATTCGTGTGTTACATATCGTCCATTCCTACTATACGTGGGATGTAACTATTTTTTTCTCCTCCTTGATGCAACTCCCCCCCCCCCTTTTTTTTAGTTTTTACCTCACTTTCTTCTCCCTCACTGTCCTTTCAGTCCTTGTTCCCCCGTGAGTAATCGGTTTAGATGTTCTCACACGAGAGACAGTTATCATGCACTCCTAACTCTACTTTCGTACCTTTCCACCTTTTTTTCTGTAGGATACCCCCCCCCCCCCCCTCATCTGGTGGCACTGCTCCTCCGTCCACTCGCAACAAACTTCTCTCTCGCTTCACCGTCCTCACCACGCTGATGCTTGTCACTTGTTGGCAAAATTGCTTTAGGCAGGCTTGATGTCGGGAAAACAATCTCGCTAGTACGACTTATTAAGCGTTTTCAAACAGCGAATGAACAGGCAGTCGTCGGACGATGCAAATAGCGCAATGAGTGGGCCGTGCAATGTTCCAACCCATTACAACATGTTCATTACAAAATATTCTGCTTGTTCCCCTATTACCCGTGACGCATACCCACTTCAGCCATAATTCCTCATCGTTGTCAGCCACTGCATGAATATTTCGCACCAAAGTCCTTACAAGTGTTTAGCGAATACCACGCTGCTCAGACGAACCACAAAAAATGCATAGCAATTGCTGGCGTACTACCGAAAAAAATATTATGAATACCCAAGCAGGTATCAAGGAAGTGTCCTTGCAATAGTTACTCAATGAGTGTTTTGACAGGCTCACAAAGGCCACTCTTCAAGCTTTCGCTGTGACAGTGCTGCGCCTTCCACGCAGGCCTGGTGTTTTGGACCTTCTCGATTGGGCTGGAGCTAAAACAAACTCATAAATGCACTTGAAAACATTCGTTCTTGGTGTTAGTGGGCCCTCGCGAGCTTGTTCGTTCGACAACGCTTCCGCCCGAAGCAGACGATCTGCGCACAGGAGCAGCGGCTACTGCAACGCGGTTCAGAGCCGAGTCCACAAAATGACATCACACGCGAGAGGGCGCCACTGCAAGATATCAAGGCCAATTACAATCGATCGTCTTTCACTCTTCATTGGTTGTCCCTCTCCCCCTCTATGAGAAAGCCCTGCTCGCAAACCATATTGTGAACAAGACTTTTGTAAGGGGAGTCTAAACGTCAACTAAACTCTGTCTTTTTAAGGTGGAAGCTCTTTAGGGTAGACCTATGTGATCATATCTGCCGTTGACCCTCGATTACGACGACGCTGATGATGATGAATAAGAAGTGCGTTCTAGACCGCGCATTCTCTTTCTGCCATGATGGTACAACAGATGCAAGGTAGCCACTACGTGTCTTGACGACGACGATGACTTTGATGGCATAAAGAACAAGCGTGTTCCAAACACACATTCTCTTTCTGCTATTTCGGCACAGTGCAGACAAGGTACCCTTATGTGCCACGACGATGATGATCACGCTGTTGATGATGGAGATGATGATGATGATGACCATGGACAACGACTGGCTTGTGCGGAATATTACGTCTCGATATACTGTACAATGCATTTCGTATGACTGGAAGCAACCAACGACTATAAAGGGAATTTGCAGAAACCTCGTCTTTGCCAACTTCAGTCTATATGTTATACTATAAAGCAGTATTAATGAAGGCAATACGAAATAGGCAACTCAACAAAACATACTAATATGACCAATAAATATTGTATTTAACTGTCCACCACTTTCTCGCTCAGTTACATGTGTAAGTGGTCAATGTCACGGGTGATTTACGATAATATTTGACAATCACATTGCTCCGCCCACTCAACATCGTTAGTGGCTAAGGTACTCGGCTGCTGACCCGATGGTCGTGGGATCGAATCCTGGCTGCGGTGGCTACATTTCCGATGGAGGCGGTAATGTTGCAGGCCCGTGTGCTCAGATTTGGGTGCGCGTTAAAGAACCCCAGGTGGTCAAAAGTTATGGAGCCCTCCACTACGGCGTCTCTCACAATCATATGGTGGTTTTGAGTCGTTAAACCCCAGATATCAATGAACCAGCATCATCAAATTTGTGAAGACGCCACGATTTTTTATATGCAATGCAGCTCTTTGAAGAGCCTGTGTAACGCTGTTCCTTGATGCGAATGCGCCGCGCGCCGCAAGTGTTGACGCGGTGCCAATCATGTCACGCCGCTACAGCATATCGACATCTCTCTCCCCTCGCAGTGCGTGCTGACGTCACTCTCTCCTTCGCCTGCCGCGCGCTCGCTTCGGTAGCCGCTGCTGCCGCCTCGTCCGTTCTCTCGCAACACCTGCCACAAATGCCAGTTGCTACAACGCTGACTCGTCCGTTCACGCTCAATGAAGCTGCCGCGTGCCTATTGTACGCGTTCAAATATGCCCGTCGGTGTAACCTACACGACCTACGCAAGCCATCGCTTCAAACAAATCTTCCAGCGAACAAGGCAGCAGCCGCGTGAGCGCCGTTCATTCTTAGCTGCCCCCCGTGCCCAACGCTGCTGCTTCACATCTCATCAAGGTTGTCTTCGTGTATATGGTTCAAGTTTTTAGATGCGGAGCATCTTATACTCGCGCCTTGTAGTGCGCCGTCCGCGTCGTCCACGCCGTCCACACCGCTTCTCGAACATTCGACAGCTGACGCGCGCGCATGCGCTGTCGCGCCGTCGCCCACTCTTCCACCATCTGTGAATCCCTTCCTCCTCTACACACCGCGCGCGCTTCACTCCTCCACCATCTGTGCACCCTTCCTCCTCTACACACCGCGTTCGACATCTACAATTCTCCTGATTCTCCAGTGGACGCGCATGTGGCGTCGCGCTTCGAGAACATTCAACAGCTGACAGTGCATGCGCCGTCGTGCTGTATATATACTCAAGGTCGGCGCTCGCTCGCTCAGTTGCCGCTCGTCGGTTGGTTTGTACGGCGCGTCGACGTCCAAGGTCACGGTGAAATGAATTCCAACGAATCCACAAACACATTGATCGACGTCCCTTCGACCAGCGCCGCCCTTTCGCATACGTGTGTACGTGTTCACTCATTTAACACCCCCTCCTACAACCACGTTAACCAATTTAGCCATCGACCCAAGTAAGTCGCAATTTAACACCCCATTTCACAACCACGTTAACCAATTTAGCCATCGACCCAGGTAAGTCGCACTTTAACACCCCGTTAACCAATTATATGGTCCGCATCCTCCTCAGTGTTCCCCCGAGGGAAGCTGCGGGCATTTTCTTTTTCTTTAGATTCTTAAAACAATGGCGGTGGGTGCGTCACTGGCATGTTTCTTGCGGGACTGTGGCGCTCGACCACGCTGTAAGATTGTGTCTTACACCGTACGTTCGGTGCATTCTGTGACTAGCTTTGCAGTTTTCAAGCCGCAAAAGTCTGAGAACTCTTCGTTCAGTATAAGTTTTAGCGTATACTCTATGCAGCTAGCTAAATAGAACAAAACAGTCGAAGTCGCCTGCTTTACGAAAAATGCTTCGCATTTAGATACATGTGTATATTTGATGCGGAGTTTTGCTGTTGCCTAGCGAACTATAGTTGCCCTGATACTGTCAAGGAATTTTTCCGCATACAAATAAAAAACGCCAGACCTGCGCGGCAGACGCAGCACACACTCATAGGATAACTGCTGCACGACGCACACTTGCTAGATACCCACTCGGACATTAGCAATAAAAAATTTTGTGTATTATGCTGCCAGTCGCTATACTATTTTTCGTCATTCTATTCGGAAGCATGGTATTCGCTGAACACTTGCAAGGAATTTCAGGCCAATTGTTCATGCAGTGGCTGATGAGAATCAAGAATTGTAACTGAAGTGGATATGCGCCACAGTAATAGGTGAATAAGAACAAACTTTTGTAATGGGTTGGAGCATTGACAACCCACTCGTTATGCCGTTCGCATTGTGCGATGACTGGTTGTTATTTTGCCGCTCTAAAACGCTTTATAAATCGTATTAACGCGATAGCTATCCCGCCATCAAGCTCGCCTACGGCTAGTTTAACAACATGTCCCAAGCACGGGTGTGTTTTAGGGGTGGAGTACTGGGCAGGCACCCAGCGGACGAGGTTTGGAGCCCCAGTGTTTCATTGGTACCGGATTTCATTTCTAATTTCGTGCTTTGTCGTTACAGACACTAGTGGCGGTGGACAACTATGGCAGCGCTTGACCCGAGTTTTCATCTCATAAGAGCTTTCGCTGTAATACTTACAAACGTCCGAAACAAGAGACGAATATAGAATAGTAGCAAAAGTTACGTTATCCTTCGTGATCGCAGATGGCAGCGCTGGAGGCTCGTGTGGGGGCGGAACTGAGCGACCAGCTGCAGGACCTGCAAAAAGCACAGCTCGCTGCAGATGGTCGCCAAAGGCTTCTGGATGAGGTGGAGCCTTGGTCTCCTACACAGCACTGCCCTTTGCAGGAGCTGCCGCTGCTGAGGAGCTCCAGGGACGCACCATTTCGCTGGACGTTGTCAGGGTACCAAAGACTGAAGGTGAAGTGATCTAAACCGTCGTTGGTGCCCGTTACGTTTAGTTCAATCGTGAAAAGCATCTATTTTCCTATTCATACTTTGGAAGTGCACAATGCTTTGCTAGTCATAACTGATGATTGAAATGAGAATAACTAGTGTTCCAGTCGTCAAGATGAGTCATAATGTTTCCATATTGTCTAGTAGCATCATTTTTGCATGCTAGAAAACGCTTAAAAAGGTCGCTTAGCTGCCCTTGCGCAGCACTAGTAGCCATATCGCGCCATGATTTTTAGGCAGTTAATACCAGTAATACTCCACCTTCTACCCACTCCCTCTGTTTTCTTGAGCAGAGCTCTCTCAGCTGCGTAGCGGTTGTTGCTATAGAAGGGAGCACAAGGTTGGGTGCGTGGTGTCTGTCTTGTCTTGTCGTGGCTAGTGCTACTTGTAAAGAATAGAGAAGAGCACCTTTCAATACATTGAAACAACTCGACTTTATGTACAGGAACGTATGTATATATTTACAAGACTCTTCACCGTTGGAACCGTCACATGTTGCCTCGGCAGAACCGATAGTGCAGATAGCGTTTGCTGTGACCAGAACGCCCGCGAGGAGTCGGGAGCCAGGTTAGAACCCCTGGGTTTGCTCCTCCCAATTCTCCTCACGGCCAACCAAAACAATTCACTTCGTTCATTGGGCAGACTGAAACACATGTCGCCGTCCTCCCCTCTCGCTCTCTTATTGAAGCACTCGACCTCTCGGTCCGAGAGAGAGAGACGAAAAGACCGGCCTCCATACAATGTTCCGCGAACTGCGTGAACGCACACGATGGTGGCGCCGTTTTGGCTGCGGGCCCATATCATTACTGCGAGATGACTACGCTGTCTAGCGTGACAGTCATCTCGCGGACTCTAATCTAGACAGATGGGTGTTGATACACCGGATGTCCTCACGTCGCCCACCAGCATTCCGCTGGCCGGAGACCAATTAGCTGGTTGTTAAAAGCGGCGACCAACCCCGGTCTTCTTACCAGAACGGGCGTCCTTACGCCGGGATTATCGTCTCTCGAGAATCAACTCTTTGGGAAGTGCATTCTTTTGCGACAAAAAAGACGGACTCCCTATGCCTGCGACGCCAGACCTTACATTACCATTCTAGGTATCGCTACAAATATAGGAAGAGCAATCGTTCCACTGTATAGAGGTGGGATAGCTACGACTTAAGCAATACACGCAGATGTACAGGTTTAGATTCATAAAACTTCTTGAACCAGCTTCCTTCTTATTTCTCGCGCACGAAGCTTTGTGTTGCAGTCTGTTTCAGTGAATATAAAACTCCCCACACGATTATTAACGATATTGATGGTATGCGACTGGTCATGCAACAAGCACAAAGAGCGGTGCATCAATGATACTATCAGTCACTCCTTGGGGGGGGGGGGGGCTAGGGTCATGTTTATCGCTCATTTGAAAAATTGCGAATGACAGCTTGACTCGTCAAGAAAGTTATGGCAAAGTGGCCTTTTTTTAACAAGTATACACAGCCTCAGATATTAAAACTTATTGAAAAAGTTCATTTTCTCTATCACCTTCATCAGCCTTACTACGCCCACTGCAGGGAAAATGCCTTTCCGATGTCCCGTCAGTTAACTTGATCCTGTGCTTGCTGCTGCTACTCAATCGCCCACAAAGCTCATGTGCCCAAATAACTTTCTCTATCCCTTCCACCCACTCGCCTTTTTTTGAAATAAAGTCCTTGATCCTTACTAAACAGCGGTTATCTTGTCTTCGCAATCGTGCCAATCCATGCCAAATTATTCTTCTTGATTTGGACTATGATGTACTTAACAACCGTCTGTTCCCCGATAGCCACGACTCTTTTCTTGTCCCTTAGAGTTAAACTTATCAATTTCTTTTTCATTGCTCGCTGCGTTGTCCTCAACTTAAGTTGAACCTTCTTTGTTTTCCTTCAAGTTCCTGCTCCGTAGGTAAGCACCTGTAAGATGCTGTTGTTATATATACCTTACTAATGATAAATAGTGGCAATCTACTATTCCTGATTTCAGAGTGCTTGCCGAATGTGCTATGCCCCATTTTTATTCTTCTAGTTACTTCAATCTTGTGGTTCGGCTCCGCGTTTACTACCTGTCTTAAGTAGACCTACCCTTTTACAACTTCAAGAGAATTGCTACGTATCTCAAAGCACTGTTATCTTCCGAGGTTGCTGTAAATTAGATTTATCTTCTGCATAATAATTTTAAGACCTACTTTTGTACTCTCCTTGTCTAATTCAGTAATCATAAATTGCAATTAGTCCCCTCTGTTACTCATCAATGCAATGTCATCGGCGAAGTGCAGGTTACTAAAGTAATTTCTATGAGCTCGTATCTTTGACTCTTGCCATTCTAGGTCTCTCAAAACCTCCTGTAAGCACGCGGTGAATAGTATTGGGGAGACCATATGAGCTTGACTTACACTCTTGTTTATTTCTTTTTTGCCACCCCCTTTATGAAGTACTATGGTGGTGGTTGATCTGATGTTGACTTCTTCCTGGATATGTATATATGCTTTGTCCAAGCCTTCATTCCGCTGTGTCTGCATGAATGAAATTATCTCTACTAAATAAAATGCCTTCTCATGATCTTTGAAGGCTATGTATAGGGGTTGGGTGCATTTGAGCATTCCTCTACACCTTATTCGTAGTATAAATCCTGTAGATTGTTGAGCAGCCTGTACGAAATCCTGCTTGATGCTTCGGTTTCGTGAAATCTAGCGTTGTCTTAATTCTGATTTTGTTAGCGATTGCCTTTGTAAACAGCTTCTATGTGATGGGGGCGAGCTGATAGGCCGGTAGTTATTCAAGTCCTAGTCATCCCCTTTTTATGAATTCTTATTCGTAGCTACAGGTGAATTGACTGACTAGGAAGTTAAAACCTTGAAAACAGACGAGGTGTTTCGGCGCGATACTCTGTTACGTTAACATGAGGCGTTATTAGTTGGAAGGAAAGTGGTGTCACAAAAACTGCGCAGTAGTAATAAATAATAAACTAGAAAAGCCGACAAAAACATTAATATTCTGCACAGATGGCACTCATATTTCAATAAACCGAGTATATTTCACGTATTTTTGAACTGTTGGAGACATTTTCAGTTGACTGTCACTGCCTGGTGGCCCCACACGTGCATCAGTCATGACGTTACATTTTCATACACGCGTGCAGTGTGTACGTCTTTTGGTAGCTAAGCTCTGTAGGTTAGAGCCATATCCGCCATTTCTTCTTCGATGACGAGGACGCTGATGCCGATGAAAAACAAGCGCGTTCCAGACCGCACATTCTCTTTTTGCATCACGGCACAGTACATGCCCATGGTAGCACTCTGTACCCCCTGTAGCACTCTGAGAGGCGGTTCCGAAAACACAATGCGGTTTATTCAGGCCTCTCCACCCTCACTAAAACTACCCCTTTTTTCTCCTCAGCACACTATCCACGACCAGTTCACGTCCCAAGTGCGTCGTGCCAGAATAAGAAGAAAAGTATGCCATAGATGCCCCCTCCCCTCTGTGCACACAAGTGGCCATGGGCACTTTTTACCAAAAATATCAGACGGACGTTGCCAGAGGAGGGGCTGGCTTGATACTTTCGATGCTGAGTGTGTCATGGTGCACAATACGCAGGATTGTAAAATGATATTCAGAACGCTTGATGACTGGGAAAGAACCATAATAGCAAAGCTGAAAAAGAACGGCGAGGCACATCAACAAAAAAAAACATGTGAAGATGTCTGTATGTTTGCCGCCAGAAGAACATTGTTTATAGTGTGCACTGAAGTAGGGGAGAGGCGCAAGTTTTGCGTGAAGACCCACTGACGCTGCGTGAAAGAAGATGAATCCGAAACGCTATGCGTATTACCAGGGCTGATGGAGTCACCAGGCAAACAGATTGTGCAGCCATTAAACATTTCAGCTACAGAGCAGGCAAGTTCTGACGGAAGTGTTGAACGAAGGCTGAGAAGCACGATGCGGAGGTGTGATACCCAGTTTACGGTGGGAGGCTGCGAGGCGAGTCCTGCTTTTAGATGACAATGGAGTTTCTCTACAATGCCATTTGATGCCGGATGATACGCAGTTGGTGAATGTGCTTATATACCAGTAGAGATGTGACATAGGTAAAAAGCGCTGATTCGAACTGTCTGCATCGCTCATCAGTCACTATTGATGATACGCCGGACCGGCTTTTCTAGGTACCAAGAAAAGTACGAGCGATTGTTTCAGCGAGGTGATGTGAGGCATGGGAGCTACATCAGGCCACCTAGTGTACCTGTCCATACACGTAACCAATTACGTATATCCCCAGCATGAAGGTAAGAGTGTCCAATTTATTGGTGTCGAAACGTCATCGGGGAAACGAAATTTTCCCCATGAAGGCTTGATGTGCCGTTGTACCTTGATACGCTGACACGCTGTGCAAGTGCGAAGTCAGCCACGAATGTTAGCGCGTATGCGTGGGCAGGCATAGCGTTCAATGGCTAGTTGTAGCATAGCTCTTACGCCTGGATACGCATAAAGTGGAAGGTGTCAAAAACAGCATGACGCAGATGTGTAGGAACATAAATACGAGTGCAGTTGTGCGATACATAGCACGAGATAGTAATAATGTCGTCATAGGGAAAGTTACTTGCTCCAGTCAGAGAGATGTACAAGATCGGAGTCATGAAAGCATAACGTCTATTGTTTGTGCCTCCATGGTTGAAGACAATGAATGGTCGGTGGTGCCTGTCGTGGCATTATAATACGGTAATATGAATGAGAGCGTACGATGCAGTGCTAAAGCTGCCTCGTAAAGCTCTTTTAGATATGTCTGTGGTGAACTCGGCAATGAAAGCAAAGTGTCGAAGTTAGGATTGCGCGTGGGACTGCATGAACGTAAAACCGTAGCAAGTGGCTTGTTGTCAGTAAGACTGGCAAATGGACACCCTTCAAGAAAGTACCTGAAACGTTTCACCACAAGGAGTTGCCGCCCAGA